CCTTCAGCTGAAGGAAGCACACCTCTGCTTCAAAATGTTTAAATATGAAGCTAAATTTCTGCTTTTTGTTTGTATAAGTTTACTTGGTTTAATATAAGATGCCGGTGAAACAAGAGTCAAATCTAACGTATGCAAACAAAACACCCACAAAATCGATGAAAGGTAAAATAAATAAAAACGAGACAGCTGGACTTTGACATGTTAAAAAGTGAAGCATAAAATTCAGCTGATGCAGCTGCAGATCCTACAGAGCAGACAGACAGTTTTCAAGATGAGACGACTTTTATTCCTCTGTCTTCACGGCAGCAACAAAACCTGCTGTGGACTTGAGAAATGTAAAACAAAAAACTAAAACAGACAGAATGAAATTAGTTTTAATCATTTACTAAATGGTAGATTTTTCCTTGTTCCATATTACTGTAGTAAAAATTATATTATCTTTGACAAGACTTCATTACCTATTTATTAATTTCCTGTAAATTGACAATTTTAAACACATTTTGATCCATTTTAAAATCCATCTTTTTATTCACTGAGTTAAATAATTTTCCTTCTTTCACTCAAATTTCAGACCTTACATCAACTCACTCTATATACTTTATTGGATGTTCCAAATTTAACGACCAACTCAACCATGGTGAGAAAATATTACAATCTATTTAATGACAGTTTGAGTTGTTAAAACCTTCAGTTCAGATAAAACAATAAAAAATCTCTTTATTTTCTTTATCTGTATAATTTTATTTTGCTCGTTTATTTTTCTTGAACAAAAAGACTCATCTGTCAGATTTATATCTCAGGACCTGTTCAGTGTTTGGACTCATTTCTCAGTCTGATTCTTTTTTTCTTGATTCTTTTACGTATTAAACATTTTTGACACTGTTGTTACTCGATCCGGTTGAGAAGAATAAAAATTTAATGAAATAAAGATCTGTTCATCTCCATCTTCTTACACTTCTTCGCAGAGGCAACAGGTCCAGAAGAGAAACCCAGAGACTTCCCTGAGAAACGGTTCAGAACTGAACGAATACAAAGAGTGAGCGATGTGCTTTTAACAGCAATTTTTGTTTCATTTTTACAGGAAAAGTAAAAATTAAAAGAAGACGAAACGTGGGAGGCTGTGATCCAGATGGTTTTTGTCTGTTTTCAATAAATCTGTAAATAAATGATAAAAAGTCTGATGTGTGAGAAGACTTGTTTTATCCTCATATTTAATGTATGTGCTCATTTACACTCCAGGTATTTAAAAAAAGAATTTCTGCTGAGTTTGTACTTTTTATCCACAACCACAAGCAAAGTAAAATACTTTTTAAGAAAGAACACAGTGGCGACTGGTGGACTTTTCTCCAGTGGGGGCTACAACTCCAAAGTAGACATCTCAAAGCACACAAACTTGCACTAAGTTGTATCACGTCAGTGTATTTATAAATGAAAACAATATAAACATTGCAATGTCATGTTGTGTTTTATGTTTTGTACATAAATTTGCTCTTCTGTAACTGAGGAGCAAATTTCTTCATGACTCTGGTTAAAGTCAGGGTTGATTTAACCAGATTCTGATAGAGCATGGTC